CTTTCAGAGTGTTCACAATTCACTGTGTTATCAGAGTCTTTTAAGGTGCAGAATACTCTGGGCATTTTTGCAGCTCTAGGGAGAGAGTTTTTCCTTCTGTATTGCTGAAGGGTTTTTTTTTAACCAACTGTTAGGAAGGCCTCCATCAAAGCTGGGCACTGAAATTCCCTTTGTTAATTCTAAGAAGGTAAAAGTGGACTTGAGAAAATTAAATTTATAATGTATGAAGGGAAAGGTAAGAAGAGGAGTATTAAGTAGAAGGTGAGGCATGAAGTATTTGCTTCTACATTATATTGATTATCTTTTCCTGGTGACTTAAATTGTTTGCCACTTATTCTTTGTATATGTTTCTAAGTGGTGGATGTGTTTTTGAGTTACTGTTAAAGTGTGCTTTAATTATGCTTCTGAATACTCATAAAATCTGAACATTTTGTAGTTTTGGTAACAGTACAAGTTAGTGTGATGGAGTGCAGGAGCCTCCTAAAGCTTTCTTGCAAATCAGGACTGTGTTCAGATACTGGCTTTATACTTGCCTATTATGAGCTCAAACTTAAATTAATTAATGTCTGGAAGCTTCTGTTTTTCATTGATAAAATGGAGATAATATTCACCTTGTGGCTTATTATGAGTATTAAATAGTATCATGTGTAATATAGCTAGAACAAAGAAGGCATTCAAATATTATTCCTCTGTTTTGGCTTATAGAAACCTTAATCTCCTTAATAAGTTCACTTGGAAAGATAAATAGTAAATTTAAAATGTTTTACTTTATCATGCCCCAAAGCTACAGATCAATGAATTTGAACTTGATTGTATTATTCCTGAGTATCAAGAAGTTCACTTTTGAGATCTAGTTTCTAAATGGCAGTTGTATTTATGTTTTTAATCATAGTATAGATTTGTGTATACCATATATGTGAGGGAGACATAGATGGTTACTTACTACTTAATGGGTGCCACTTTCACTCAGTCTTTTTCTCATTGATAACTGACAATACTAATTTGGAGTATTTTATAAGGCATTGACAAAGTTACATTTGAATGATTAAATTTATGGTTTGTGGAGTTGTAAAATATTGANAACTTAAATTACAGACATGTTTTATTGTATTTAGAAAAGAGCTATAAATAATGGACATATGCCGAATTTTTGTATTCAATTAAAACAATTATTTTTTTTTTTTACTGTTGGATCAGTGATACTTTGAAATTGTTTTAGTACAATATAGGTAAGAATAACATTTAAGCTACTCAGCATTTATCTTCAAGATATATATATATGTTGAATTTTGCAGTTGCTATATGTTGGTGATCTTTATTTCCAGGGTTATCTTGAAGAACTCTTACGGCTTCGAGAGAACCAGCTGTCCGAATCTGTCTCCCAAAATAAAATACTGCTACAAAGGATTGAAGACTCTGACCTAGCCCATAAACTGGAAAAGGAACAATTAGAATATATCATTGTGGAGCTTCAAGATCAGTTGTAAGTGAGATCCTTTTGGAAAAATTCTGGCAGTATGTGAACATAAGAAAGAGTCACGTTTTGACATAGGATTCAAATTCCAAGAAATTGGATTGCTTGCTATCTTTTTCATTTACTATTTTTTAAAAGATTATTTTTGTTTTTATTACTATAAAAGTAATCCATGCTCATTGTAGAAACATCACAAAATATAGGAAGAAAATAAGAATCTCTTTCAGTTGTGCTACCCGGAGTTAACTGTTATAACTTGGTGTATATTCTTCCAAATGCATATGCATAATTTTAAAAGCATTTAATTAAGTTAGTTATTAATTGACTGATTAATTGACAGATTGCAAAAAGATGCTATATA